AAATGAAACACAGACTGTGAAAGTATCTGTTAACTGTGGGTGTTGTGCAAAGTGAGGTGTTGTTCAAAGCAAGAAAGAGGAATACTGAATGCATAGACTAAATTCTAATAAATCATGCATTTCCGTGTTTCCCCTTAGGCTGCAATGTTCTTCCCTGTCTTGGTGTCTCTTCCAATTTGATGTTTCGTGTGTGTTTTCAGATCACCATGTGTCTATCTCCTTCATACAACTATCAGACTTTTTTTTTTTTCTGAGATGGAGTTTCGCTCTTGTTGCCCAGGCTAGAGTGCAACGGCGCAATCTCATCTCACCGCAACCTCCACCTCCCAGGCTCAAGCGATTCTCCTGCCTTAGCCTCCCGAGTAGCTGGGATTACAGGCATGTGCCACCACTCCCAGTCAATTTTGTAATTTTGGTAGAGACAGGGTTTCTCCATGTTGGTCAGGCTGGTCTTGAACTCCCAACCTCAGGTGATCTGCCCGCCTCAGCCTCCCAAAGTGCTGGGATTACAGGCATGAGCCACCATGCTGGCCACAACTATCACATTCTTATTGTCATTCTTGATTTCTATTTCCGTCTCCCCCACTAGATAACACACTCTTAATGATGGAAATTGGGTCTTTTTTTGAGGGATGCTTGAGGGCCTCCCCTTTCCCTGTTCCTGCTCTCTATCAGCGCTCCCCAAGACAAGATTCCTCCAACCCCTCAGCCAGGATTTGCCAACCACCGTGTCCCTAACCTCAAATCTCCTCCCCACCAGGAAACATTTTTAGAAGCGCCATTAACCCTCTTGTTTTTATATCCCCAGCATGGGAAACAATGCCTAGCAGCCAAACTGCAGTCAGTGAAAGTTGGCTGAAGGATGAATGAATGAGACAACTGAATTATCATATCTGTCTTCAAGAATGCTCTCTTTCTGCCAATCAAGGCCTCCTCTGTGTAAATCTCTGACATCCGACGGTTTGACAATTTTGGTTTGATTATTCAAGGAGGGCCATGACTTGTATTAACTTGTGATTTTGCTGAAGAAAGAATGTGAATGAACACAGGGCCAGGCCTGGGGTCAGGATCCGGGCCCTCTTAGCCGTGTTAGGCTCCCCAGCCTCCAGCTCCTCCATGTGGCTTTGTCATTTCTGACTCTGTCACATGCTCAGTGAAGCCAGAAATCCAGGCCTTTTGACTCCGAAGTTCAAGTTCGTTTTTTTCCTTCTCTCTCTCTTATTTATTTAATTTTTTTTTTTTTTTTTTTGAGACCGAGTCTTGCTCTGTCGCCCAGGCTGGAGTGCAGTGGCACAATCTCGGCTCACCGCAATCTCTGCCTCTCAGGTTCAAGGGATTCTCCTGCCTCAGCCTCCAAGTAGCTGGGATTATAGGCATGCGCCACTACACCAGGCTACTTTTGTATTTTTAGTAGAGACGGGGGTTTCTCCATGTTGGTCAGGCTGGTCTCAAACTCCCAACCTCAGGGAATTTGCCGCCTCGGCCTCCCAAAGTGCTAGGATTACAGGTGTGAGCCACTGAGCCCAGCCAATTTTTTTTTTTTTTTTTTTGATGCGGTCTCACTATGTTGCCCAGGATGATCTTGAACTCCTTCCTAGGCTCAAGCAATCCTCCTGGCTCAGCCTTCCAAAGTGTTGGGATTACAGGCATAAGCCAGCACGCCCGGCCCTTTTCTTACAGGGTCTCACTCTGTTGCCAGGCTAGAGTGCAGTAGTGTGATCTTGGCTCATGCAGCCTCAGCCTCCCACACTCAAGTTAGCCTCCTACCTCAGTCTCTTGAGTAGTTGGGACTACAGGTGAGTGCTACCACGCCTGGCTAATTTTTTTTTTTTTTTTTTAGATGGAGTCTTGCTCTGTCACCCAGGCTAGAATGTAATGGCGTGATCTCAGCTCACTGCAACCTCCACCTCCCAGGTTCAAGCAATTTTCCTGCCTCACCCTCCCAAGTAGCTAGGACTACAGATGTGTGCCACCATGCCCGGCTGAATTTTGTGTTTTTGGTAGAGATGGGGTTTCACCATATTGGCCAGGCTGGTCTTGAACTCCTGACCTCGTGATCCACCCGCCTCGGCCTCCCAAAGTGCTGGGATTACAGGCGTGAGCCACCTCACCTGGCCTGTTTTTGTATCTTTTGTAGAGACAGGGTTTTGCCATGTTGCCCAGGCTGGTCTCAAACTCCTGGGCTCAAGAAATTTGCCCACTTCGGCCTCTCAAAGTGCTGGGACTAGAGGTGTGAGCCACCACGCCCAGCCCCAAGTTCTTTCTTTTATAGCTCTCAAAAACATTAGAATGTTCTCTCTTCTTCTTTTTTTTTTCTTTTTTTCTTTTTTTTTTTTTCTGAGATGGAGTTTCACTCTTGTTGCCCAGGCTGGAGTGCAATGGCACAATCTCGGCTCACAGCAGCCTCTGCCTCCCGGGTTCAAGCTATTTTCCTGCCTCAGCCTCCCGAGTAGCTGGGATTATAGGCATGTACCACCATGCCCGACTAATTTTGTATTTTTAGTAGACATGAGGTTTCTCCATGTTGGTCAGGCTGGTCTCAAACTCCTGACCTCAGGTGATCCGCTCGCCTCGGCCTCCCAAAGTGCTGGGATTACAGGCGTGAGCCACCGTGCCCAGCCCTCTCCTCTTTTTAAAGAATCTTTTTTTTTTTTTTTTTTTTTTTGAGACAGAGTCTCTCTCTGTTGCCCAGGCTGGAGTGCAGTGGCGCGATCTCCGCTCACTGCAAGCTCTGCCTTCCGGGTTCTCGCCATTCTCCTGCCTCAGCCTCCAGAGTAGCTGGGACCACAGGCACCCGCCACAACACCCGGCTAATTTTTTGTATTTTTAGTAGAGACAGGGTTTCACAGTGTTAGCCAGGATGGTCTCGATCTCCTGACCTCGTGATCCGCCAGCCTCGGCCTCCCAAAGTGCTGGGATTACAGGCGTGAGCCACCGCGCCCAGCCAGCCTAAAGATTCTTTAGTATTATTATTATTTTAATTTATTTGGAGTGACAGGGTCTATGTTGCCCTGGCTGGTCTCGAACTCCTGGGCTCAAGCGATCCTCTCATCTTGACCTTCAAAGTGCTGGGATTACAAGTGTGAGCCACTGTGCCTGGCCAAGGTTAGAATTTTCAAAGCATTTTGTTATCTCATTTGATTTCCACAACAACTCAATGTGGATACAATTAGTATTTGTCCTTTACAGATTTGCAAAGAGGCTCAGAGAGTTTAACTTACTTGCTGAAGGTCACTCAGCTGATAAGCAACAAAGAGGACCCTAGAAGTCAAGATTCCTGAGTCTACATAAACGCTGTCTTCTTTTTTATCATAATACTATCATTTTGGACAAGAAACCACCCAATGCATTTATTAAATATATAAAGGAAAATAAAAGATAGCATTCTTTTAAGAAAAAAAGACATTTAAAAAAAAAGAAGGCTGATTCAGTAGCTCACACCTGTAATCCCAGCAATTTGGCAGGCTGAGGTGGGAGGATCACTTGAGCACAGGAGTTCAAGGCCAGCCTGGGCAACATAGTGAGACCCTGTCTCTCCAAATAAATTAAAATAATAATAATACTAAAGAAAAAAAAAGTTCCCAGAAGGAGGGGCAAAGAGGGCATTGGGGTCAATCATATGTGTAAAATTTGGTCTACACTGAAACTTTTTAGAGATTCAGTAAATATTAGTTGATGATAGTACTTTTTGATAGCAGCTATTATATATATTGTGTGTATTCTTATGGAGTCTAACATATGGTTTCCACAGTAGGGTTCAGTAAATTTGGGTGTACCAGGAGGAGACCATTAGCTAAATTTATCAGATTATGTTCCTGCTACGGCAGGTAATTGAGAATTGGGTATATTAGTAAAGGCATGATGAGGGCTGGGCATGGTGGCCCATGGCTGTAATACCAGCCCTTTGGGAAACCGAGGCAGGAGGATCACTTGAGGCCAGGATGTTGAGACCAGTCAGAGCAACATAACGAGATTCTGTATCTACAAAAAAAAAAAAAAAGTTTTAATTAGCTGGGCATGGTGGTACACACCTGTAGTCCTAGCTATTCTGGAGGCTGAGGCTGGAGTATTGCTTGAGCAGAGGAGTTCAAGACTGCAGTGGGGCTGTGATCACCCCACTGCACTCCAGCCTGGGCAACAGAGCTAGATCCTGTCTCTAAAAAAGAAATTTAAAAAAAAATGTTAGGGATATGATTTGGTGAGTGATGCAGAGAGCCAAAAGAATGGGATGCAATTCCCTGGAAGCACAACTGCTACCTGTGGGAATCATCCTGGGAACTCCCCTATTATCTGGAGATGCCAAAGGGTGGCAGTGTCCAAACTGAGGGAGCACCCAAGTGCAGGGAGACAGAATGGGCGAATGGCAAACACTCGAGCCTCCAATGCTAGGGCCCTGGCTCTGCTCCCATGCTTTCTAAGATCTCTTACATAGCTGGGCATGGAGGCATGCCTATAATCCCAGCTACTCGGGAGGCTAAAGAAGGAGGTTCACTTGAGTCCAGGACTTCAAGACCAGCCTGAACAACATGTGTGTGTATTATTTTATTATTTATTTATTTTTGAGACGGAGTTTCGTTCTTGTTGCCCAGGATGGAGTGCAACGGCACGATCTCGGCTCACCGCAATCTCCGCCTTCCCGATTCAAGCCCTTCTCCTCCCTCAGCCTCCTAAGTAGCTGGGATTACAGGCATGTGCCACCATAACCGACTCATTTTTTTTTTTCTTTTTTTTTTTACAGGCGCCTGCCACCATGCCCGGCTAGTGTTTGTATTTTTAGTAGAGACGGGGTTTCACCTTGTTGGACAGGCTGGTCTCAAACTCCTGACCTCAGGCGATCCTCCCGCCTCAGCTTCCCAAAGTGCTGGGATTACAGCCGTGAGCCACCGCACCCGGCCTAATTTTGTATTGTTAGTAGAGAAGGGATTTCACCGTGTCAGCCAGACTGGTCTCGAAATCCTGACCTCAGGTAATCCACCTACCTCGGCCTCCCAAAGTGCTGGGATTACAGGCATGAGCCACCGGGCCCGGCCCTTAATACTATTTTTAAGTGACAACACATGTCATAGAAGTATTAACTATTGTTACTAGTACCAGTGCCTGTGCCTGTGACACTTTCCTTATCTGCTAATGATTAGAAAAATAAAAAGATGTGCTTTCCCAGGCGGTTGCCGAAGATGGCGGAGGTGCAGGTCCTAGTCCTCGATGGTCGAGGCCATCTCCTGGGCCTCCTGGTAGCCATCGTGGCTAAGGAGGTAATGCTGGGCTGGAAGGTGGTGGTCGTACGCTGCGAGGGCATCAACATTTCTGGCAATGTCTACAGAAACAAGTTGAAGTACTTGGCTTTCCTCCGCAAGCGGATGAACACCAACCCCTCACGAGGCCTCTACCACCTCCGGGCCCCAAGCTGCATCTTCTGGCGGACCGTGCGAGGCATGCGGCCCCACAAGGCCAGGGAGGCCAGGCCTCTCTGGACCGCCTCCAGGTGTTTGACCATGTCGGACCGCCTCGAGGTGTTTGACAGCATCCCACCACCCTACGACAAGAAAAAGTGGATGATGGTTCTTGCTGCTGTCAAGGTCGTGCGTCTGAAGCCTACAAGAAAGTTTCCCTATCTGGGGCGCCTGGTACATGAGGTTGGCTGGAAGTACCAGGCAGTGGCAGCTACCTTGGAGAAGAGGAAGGAAAAGGCCTAGATCCACTACCGGAAGAAGAAGCAAGGCATGAGGCTACGGAAACAGGCCGAGAAGAACATGGAGAAGAAAACTGACAAATACGCAGAAGTCCACAAGACCCATGGACTCCTGGTCTGAGCCCAATAAAGAATGTTAAATTCCAAAAAAAAAAAAAAAAAAAAGAAAGAAAGAAAGAAAAAAAAAGATATGGCTGGGCTCAAAGCCTCCAACCCCTGGGCTCAAGTGATCTACCCAGCCTCTGAAAGTATTGGGATTACAGGTGTGAGCCACCATGCCCAGCCATTATAAAACTTTTAAACCTAGTTTTTAAAATGTTTTAATTTTTAAGTTTTTTTTGAGATTAGGTTTAAAAGTTTTATAAGTGGTGTGATCACAGCTTACGGCAGCCTCGACCTCCTGGGCTCAAGAGATCCTCTAACTTAAGCCTCCTGAGTCGCTGGGACCACAGACAGGCACCACCACACACAGCTACTTTTTACATTTTTTTGTGGAGATGGGTTTTACTAAGTCTCCAGGCTGGTCTCGAACTCATGGACTCAAGCAATCCTCCTGCGTTGGCTCCCCAAAGTGTTGAGATTACAGGCATGAGCCACCATGCCCAGCCTAAAATTCGTTTTAACTAATAAAAAGGTTTTAGTGGGGAAAAAGTCAGTAATATAGCTGAGCATGGTGGTGTGCATCCCTGTGGTCTCAACTACTTGAAGGCTGAGGTGGACCAGGAGATCAAAGCTGCACCACTGTACTCCAGCCTGGGCAATAGAAAAAGACTCCTTGTCAAAAAAAAAAAAAGTCAGTGAGATACCACTATATATCAACAAGAATGGATATAAATTAAAAAGACTGACAATACCAAGTGTTGACAAAGATGTGGAGCCACTAGAACTCTTATTCATTGCTAGTGGGAATGCAAAAGGGGACAGCCACTTGTACGACAGTTGGAGTACCTTATAGTTAAACATACATTTAGCATATGGCCCAGTAATCCTTCTCCTAGATAATTATCCAAGTGAAATGAAAATATATGTCCACATAAACGTTCATACAGTAATATTCATAATAGTTAAAAACTAGAAACAATCCACATGTTCATTAAGAGAAGGGTATAGAAACAAACTGTGCTCTATTTACAAAACTAAATATTATGCAGCAATAAAAAGAAGTAAACTCTGACACATGCAACAACACAAAGGAATCTCAAAAAACATCATGCTGAGTGAAAGAAGCATAACACCAAAAAGCCATGCCATGTGATTCTATTTTTGTGAAGTTCTAGAACTTGACAAACTGATGGTGGAAATATTTGAAATACTGTTTGCTTCTGCAGTGATGGGAAGGAGAAAAAAAAGTCCAGGAGATTGAGGTAAAAAATTCCATGAAGATAGTTGGGCATAATGGCAAGTACCTGTAATCCTAGCACTTTGAGAGGCTGAGGTGGATGAATCACTAGAGCCCAGGAGTTCCAGACCAGCCTGGGTAACATAGGCAGACCCAATCTCTATAACAATTAAAATTTAAAAATCAACCTTGTGTGGTGGTGCATGCCTGAGGTGGGAGGATCCCTTGAGTCCAGGAGTTTGAGGCTGCAGTGAGCCACGATCGTGCCACTGCACTCCAGCCTGGGTGACAGAGCAAGACCCTGTCTCAAAAAAAAAAAACAAAAAGAAGAATAAAAATGAACAAAAAATTATACAAATATTTTATAGGCTTATTTAAGGGAAGAAGAAAATGTTTTCAAAAGAGAAAAAAATTCTATGAAGAAGTAAACTCTTCCCCACTTCTCTTACCTAGTTCTCAAATAGCTTTGTTTGTTATTCAGTTTCTTCAAGTAGCTCTTGTTCCCATCTCAGCAAATTTTACCTAATTTACTGGCATTTTGATCTCAGAGAGTTGACAGTTTGACAAATGAGCTGAAGAATCCATCAGAGAAACACAGTGTGGAATAATATATCTTGCTAGCCTTCCAGATGTGTCCTAGGGGACAGAAATCAACTGGTTGCTTTTAGAGAAGAGTACTAATAAACTAGATTTATAACTAATAACACGGACCAATCTCAAGATCTCAAAAGTTAAAATACAACACATAGGTCATGCGTGGTGGCTCAAGCCTGTAATCCCAGCACTTGGGGAGCTAGATTCCATCAAAAAAAAAAAAAAAGTCAGGCTTCAAGACCAGCATCAGTTTCCAACCAAATCTACTACCAGGGTCAGCATTCACTGATACGATTTCAGATTAGATTAGGGTTCATAATGAAATATGTGACTTGGATAGTCCCCTAAACTTCTCTTAATTTTTTTTCCCCAGGACACATACCACATTTCAATACACCATGTAATTGACTTATTTAATGTGCCTATTGTCTGTCTCCCTGCTCCAGAATTCAGCTCCAGAAGAGCAGAGATCTGGGTCACTGTGTTCACTGATGCGCACTAAGGGCCCAAAAATGATGCCTGTTGACATAGATGGTGTTCAATAACTAGTTGTTGAATAAATCAGTGAACTTCTGCCATCGAATAATTCCTATCTGCCAAATAATAATCCTATAAGATAAGAAGAGCTACCAGGGTTTACTGCATGCCAGTCCCTGGGCTGAGCACTACATACATTATCTTATTTAAGCTTGCAATTTGGGAGACTGAGGTGGGTGGATTACTTGAGGTCAGGAGTTTGAGACCAGCCTGGTCAACATGGTGGAAGCCTGTCTATCCTAGAAAAAAAAAAAAAAAAAAAATTAGCCAGGTATGGTGGCAGGCGCCTGTAATCCCAGCTGTTTGGGAGGCTGAGGCAGGAGAATTGCTTGAACATGGAAGGCGGAGGTTGCAGTGAGCCAGGATTGCACCACTGCACTCCAGCCCTGGGCAACAAAGTGAGACTCAAACAATAAAAATAATTAAAAAAACAGAAATAAAAAATAAACTTTCAACAGCCCCATAACCTAGCTATCAGACCCACTTTGCAAACAGGAGGCTTAGAAAGGCTAAGCAAACTGTTTAAGATTGCACAGCTGCTAGGAAGCAAAGCGGGAATTTGAATTTGGACTCTGCAAAACTCCTAAGTCTGCGCTTAAACACTGTCTCACATGACCACTAGCTAGGAGGGCTACATGTACAACACCGGAAAAGAAAAGAACAGATTTCTCTGCACTTCAATTAGAACTGGTGGCTTCTCAGCATCCAGTAACTTCATCAGCCCCTAAAGGTTTCCATTGTTTGTTTGTTTGTTTGTTTGTTTGTTTGAAGATGTCTCACTCTGTCACCCAGGCTGGAGGGCAGTGGCATGATCACAGCTCACTGCAGTCTCAACTTCCGAGCTCAGATGATCCTCCCACCTCAGCCTCCTGAGTAGCTGGTACTACCAAGTGCATGCCACCACACCCAGCTAATTTTTTATTTTTTCTAGAGATGAAGTCTCACTATGTTACTCAGGCTGGTCTTGAACTCCTGGACATCAGCGATCCTCCCACCTTGGCCTCCCAAAGTGCTGTGATTACAGGCATGAGCCACTGCTCCAAGTCTCACACTCACTTCTGGAAGTTGAGGTGCAATCATGAGCTTGGATTTGTGGTTTAGGGGGAAAAGCTTGAGCTTTGAAATCTTACAGTTGTGGGTTCAAATGTTATTTCTCTGCTTGCTACCTGTGTGACCTTCAAAAGTTATTTACTCCTTCTGGGCTTAGATTTTTCACTAGTAAGGTGGAAATACTGATGCCTCCCTCATGAAGGTTGAGAAGTTAAAGAAAATATTTGCAATAGTTATGAAGGCCCCTTCTCCTTCACATGGTCACATAAAAGAAAAACCAAGGTCAGGTGTGGTGGCTCATCCCTGTAATCCCAGCACTTTGGGAGGCTGAGGCACGCAGATCACTTGAGACCAGGAGTTTGAGACCAGCTTGGTCAACATGGTGAAACCCCATCTCTGCTAAAAATACAAAAATTAGCTGAGTGTGGCAGTGTGTGCCTGTAATCCCAGCTACTTGGAAGGCTGAGGCAGGAGAATCACTTGAACCCAGGAGGTGGAGGTTTCAGTGAGCCAAGATTGTGCCACTTCACTCCAACCTGGGTGACAGAGCGAGACTCTATCTCCAAAAAAAAAAGATAAACCGAGCATGTTTTTTCCTGTTAGAAAACAAATGGGAAAAGAGAAAAAAGAGGAGGTGTTTCAGATCTCCAAGGTACCTTTTCTCATCTTGTTTGAGTTTTGTTAGAGGAGGATTGGGAGCAGGTCAAGGAGAAAAAAACTGGGAGAGTTGCTCTTCAAGATTCCTCTTCCCTGCTCATGTTCCTCACATCTGCCTAACTGTGAATTTCTGTTGGGAGCAGCAGAGAGGGAGTGAGAGGACAGGAGAGGGAAGGGGAAGGCTCAGAGTCCTCCAAATTTGTGGTTGCTACAAAGCAACCAGAATGGTTTGTCTCTTTCTTATTGATCTTGATAGAGACTGGAGGCAGAGAAATTCTACGCAGACGGGGCAGGTCCCCAGCAAAACCCCACCTTTGAGCCAAAAAGCCTGAAACCTGAAGCCCAAAGTGAGAACTTCCATCTCTGTTTGCCCACTCTCTTCCGATTGGTTCTTTCTGAATAATGTCCTTTTACCAATCATATGTTGCCTTTTCCAAAACTACCTATAGCCCACCCTACCCCGCATCCTGTGCCCATAAAGACCCCAGACTCAGTCGTAGAGGGGTAGAAGTGGCTTGACTAGAGAGAGGTGACTTGACTTCAGGGAAGAGCTGGCTGGAGATGGCTGGACTTCAGGGGATTACCTGCCTATTCCACCCCCTCTCCAGCTCCCCTCTCCACTGAAAGCCATTTCCATCGCTAAATAAAATTCTCCACCTCCACCATCCTTCAAGTGTCCATGCAACCTTATTCTTTCTGGATGCGGACAAGAGTTTGAGGCCCACCAAGAGGGGGTACCAAAAAAAGGCTGTCATCCGGGCCTTCTGCCCCCGCTGGCAGAGGGCAGCCATCTCACACGGATGGCTGGGTCTCACTGAGCTGATAACACACTGCTGTCCACAGACAGTGAAGCTAAGAGGGCATCGTAACATGTCCTCTGGAGCTTTGGGGGTCACAGGCACTCCCACCTGGGC